GCAGGGCAGTCGGCACATCACCGGCCAGTGGCTGAATGACCTGGTCCTCCCCTGTGCACCCTCGTCTCTGGTCCATGCCTGCTGGACCAATCAACTCGGTACGAGATCTCTGTGGCATCGGAACCAGCATTGCCCTCTGGGAAAGGGAAGAGGAGAAAGCTAGCGTAGCCCAGCTCGGTGGCACGGGCGGCAGAGGGTCACTGTGATGCTGAGGCCACACGGGAAGGCCTGGGTGTGGACCCTGGACCGAGACCCAACTGCTGGTGTGCCCACAGGCACGCCCAAGGTCCCGGCTGGCTAGAGGGCTGTGGGGAGGATTCAGGCATGGCAAGACCCCCTTAGGGGGTCCTGTAAAAAAAAGGTTTCAGGCATGGCAAGACCCCCTTAGGGGTTCCTGTCTCTCTCTTCCTCTCTTTCTCATCTCTCACATGTGCAATAACTAAATCAGAAAGGAGAAAATTAATAAATATGTCTGAATCCTTCAAAGTTCTCCTTCGCAGAGAGAGTCCAATCCAGCTTGGAGAAATCTGTGGCTCCCCAGAGGATTATGAGTAGGCTTACCACCCCCGGGAGTCTTCACACGAATCACTCCTGACCCCAACCTGGAGTTCTCAGGTCTCGAGTGGGTCTGTTTTAAATCCATTTAATGTACAGGTGGGTTGGAACTGGCAGGTGGCATGGGGGTTAAGGGCACTGGACTCCCATGTGACTGGCCATGGTTCGAGCCCTGGACCTGGTGGCTTGATCTCTCTCTTTTCCTCTCTCTCTCCCTCTCCCTCTCTGGTCAAATTAAAGACATACATACATACATACATAAAATAATAAACACAGGTGGGCGAAACGGAGGGTCACAGCTAGCCAGGATTCGTTCACGCTACAGGCCCTATGTGGAGATGCCAGGCCAGTCACTGGTTCTGGGCCAGGGTGAGCAGGGACACCTGTCTGATGGCCAGTGTGGGGTCCAGGTGGGTCCAGACCAGGACATGCGCCCGCAGTGGGGACAGTGTCAGAGCCCCCTGGGCTGCTTCTGCATCCACTGCCTCCCACGCCAGCCACACACGTAAACCCCGGCCACTCGAGTCTGTCCCCGGGCTCTGTTTCTGCCGCCCTAACGAGCTGGCACTCCCTTGGATGAGGGACGGTCCGCTTTGCATCTGCCCCAGAGCCCAGGGCCACGGGGCCGCCTTCTGGAAGTCGATGCTGATGAAGGAGACTAGAAACGAGAGCAGCGTGTTTTCAACGCGTCCCTCGTGCTCAATTGAGCACGTCATCTGCGTTACTTTATCCACACCTACAACAACCCTGCTAGACAGGAAATCGCGGAGTCCCATTTTATAGACAAGGAAAGTGAGGCCCAGAGAGGTTAGCCGCGTGGCCTCCACCACTCAGCAAGTGTCTGAAAGGGCGGGCTCCGACGCCATGGTCTTCCCCACGACGCCTTAGCCCCCTCCCTGGCTGCACACGCGTGACCTGAAAGGGCCCCTCCGTTCCCAGTGGAAGGCTGGAGGCCTTGGGGAGAAGCGGCAATGTGGCCACGTGCCCACAGGAAGGAAGGACTCTGATTCCGAGGCCCCGTGCCCACCTGCCTGCCTTACGTGGGATGTCGTGGAGGTCAGGGAGCTGTGGCCTCAGCCAGACCACACACAGCACCTAAATGTGCCCGAGAAGAGAGACGGGGGATCCCTACCATTCTGAGGGAGGATGAACAGCTCCTCTGTGACCTGCCTCTTGAGGCGACTGTCACTTGGGGCCTGGGGGCTGGCAGGCGCGGCAGGCTCCTCCGTGGCCCTCAGCGTGTAGTCGGCGTAGTTGATGACCTCGGGTGCCGTGACAGCTGGCCTGGGGCCGTAGATGTCTGGGAACTTGAGCAGAGCTCGGGGCTGGACCGGTTCCGTGGACTTTTTCACGTTGAACTGCAAACACAAGTCACTCGGGTTAGTCTGCGAGGGGCCCGCCCGCCATTTTCCACCCACAGAAGGCAAGACGGTCAGCAGAACCTGTCATGGGAAGAGGGGAGAGGTGCGCCTACATCCCACCCCAGACTCCACCCTGTGAGGCAAAACTCCATCTCCAAATCCACCAGAACCCGCACCATCCCAAGTCATGCCGGGGCTCGCCAAGAAGCAGCCCTGTTTGCACACCCCCTTCTCCAAGCCTCAGCCCACCCGGCCTAGGGCTGGACCTGTGGTGGTTCCCGGGGCCAAATGTGGGTGATCCTCCCTCTGCTGCTCTCAGCTCATCTCCCCCCTCATCTCTCCATCCTCTCTCCTCCTCACCTCCCTCTTTTATGTCTCCTCTTCCTTTCTTTCTCCCCCTAATGGCCCAGAACTGCCAACGGCTCCCACTACACTTGGAACAAAATCCAGACTCCTCGCAACAGCCCGTACATCCGCCCAGTCTGGTCCTGCTCACCTCTGACCACCCCAGGTCCTCCTACCTGGACCCGTACATCCGCCCAGCCTGGTCCTGCTCACCTCTGACCACCCCAGGTCCTTCTACCTGGACCCTGAGATCCCTGCTTCGTAAACAGGCTGGAATCTTTCTTGGGTCTGGCTTGGGGGCCTCGACCTCCAAAGCACATCTCCACCCCACCCCCACCCCCCGCCCCTGCAAGGTGATTCCACCGTGGGACAAAGCCGACAGGGCAGACAGTGGGGTGGAGGATCAGAAAAGGCCTGCGTCCTGGTGATGTCACGAAGCCAGTGGATCCACCTGCCTGCAATGTGCCTTCCTCTGTCCTTGAAGCTACCCAAGCGTGCTGTTCTTATCATTTAAGCTTGTTTGCACTGCATGTTTGTGCCTTGCCCTCAAGAGCACCCCAAGTGGATGCACTGCATTATTAATATATATATATTTTTTTAGATTTTTGCCTTGGGGTGCGTGCAATTGCTAGAGAGAGAGAGAGAAATGGTAAAAGGGAAAGTGAGAAATCATCCCCCAGCAGGGTCGGCCATGCCACAGTCCCTTCTCCTCCATTTTCCTTCTGGGATCCTGGGCACACACATGTGCGCCCAGCCTGATTTTTGAGCCACCAGGTCCAGGACTCGAACTGTGGTCGGCCATGTGGAAGTCCAGCACCTTAACCACCATGTCACCTGCTGGATCCAATGCATGCATTTTTAACAAGCGCCACGGTAGATCAGGACCCCGGCAGAGAGAAGCTTGGCTTGGGGTAGGACCTGTCAACCCCTGAACCTCCGTATCCAGCCAAAGGCACCCTTGCTCACGTTACTCTTATCTTGCCAGCTGCTGGGCGGCCAATGGCTGCCTTTAGCCGAGAATGATTTATGGCCCTGACCAGGCCGAGCACGAGCCCGATGACAGCTACACGAGTCTCTTCAGGAGCACAGCAGCGGCTGATTACCTATCTCGTTTCTTGTACAATCTTATTTACTGCATTTCAAACCCTGCTTCCACCACGTGTCTCAGATACACCTTTGTTTCCACTTAAATAGCTGAAATTTCAGCACCCAAGAAGCAGAAAGGGGTTAAGGGGTGGGAGAAAGCAGCCTGGGTAAAGATTATGGGTGAAGAGCAAGCATGTCTGGGATGGGGGCAAGACGGTGGCACAGCAGCAACACCGCCGGCTCCACGGGGAAGCCTTGGCTCATGTTCAAGGTCCTTCTGCACACCAGGTGCACACACATGCCCATGCTCCGGGCGGGCTGAGGGTGGAGGTGGGACACGGTGTGAAGACCCTGTTCAGAGTGCTAAAATTTAAAAAAAGAATATAGGGGTGGTGGGTGGCATGCTGATTAAGGTGCTGGATTCCCACATGGCCAACCACGGTTCAAGTCCTGGACCTGGTGACTTGCTTTCTCACTTTCCCTCTCTCTTTCTCTCTGGCCAAATTTTAAAAAATAGTAATAAATAAAATTAAATAATTCTTAACAAAAAAATAAATTAAGAAAAGAATGTCTATGGGGCCAGCAAATGGTGTGGTGATTAAGGCACTGGATCCCACATGGCCAACTCCATGATTCAAGTCCTGGACTGATGACTTGAAAAACCCACATGGCAAATGCACATGCAAGCCCAAAATCCCAAGAAGAGAATGGAGAAGGGACTGTGGAAAGCCTAGATTCCCTGGGTAATTTGTCATTTTCCCTGTCTCTGTGTCTCTCTGTCTCTGGCGAGCACATGCACCCTCTGGCAACAACCTAAGAAATAAATGAAAGAGTGCCAGGAAGGAGGGAAGTGGACCCTCAGGAAGCAGGCCCTGCAGACAGACCTGTGGTCAAGCCTTACACATGGAGGCAGAAGGGCAGAACTTAGAATCGGGATTGTCTGTCTACATGTCCCTTGAGAAGGACAAAGGGTCTAAAAAATAAATTTGCAAAATGAGTCAGGCAAGATTTCCAGGGGGACAAGCATTCCACCATCAGGAACTGGCACCAGCCATGCTCAGCCCTGCCCGCCCATAGGAAAACACCCTCCGGAAGTATGGACGCTGGTGATGCACCTCCTGGGATCCTCCCTTGGGTTCACCTGTCTCTGGGCCCTTTGGCCACTTGCTCCTGACACTGTGGCCAACCTGCGTGGACCCTAGCCAGCTTCACATGGGCATGCCCCACGGTGCCTCACATCATGCCCAGGGCACGGCCCCTTGCATCCTGCCCTGGCTTCTCTGAGGCTGAGCGGTCTGTGACACCAGACACACTCACCCACCCAGGAGCAATCCAGATGCACAGAGGGTTATAACTCCACAGAGGAACCAACCAGACGCCTGAACAAGCCCATTCGAAAACGGACAAAAGACTTGAACAGGCATTTCGCGGAAGAAGATATACGCATGGCTAATAGCCTCATGAGAAGATGCTCGATAGCACTGATCACCAGGGAAATGCAGATCAGAACTACGTCAAGGGCCAGCTGGTAGCATGGGGACCAAGACACCGGGTCCCACGCGGACAGCTGTGTGGCTGCAGCCTCGCACTAAGCGGCTTGAAAATCACACCGGGTGCATGTGTGTGCATGCCCAAAATCCCGAGAGACTGGAAGAGAAGGGATTGCAGTATAGCCATCCCTCCTGGGCAGGGCTTTATCACTCTCTCTGGCAAATGCATTTGCCTTATGTCAACAAAAGAAAGGAAGAAAGGAAGAAAGGAAGAAAGAAAGAAAGGAAGGAAAGAAAGGAAGAAAGGAAGGAAGGAAGGAAGGAAGGAAGGAAGGAAGTCCTGGACTGATGACTTGAAAAACCCACATGGCAAATGCACATGCAAGCCCAAAATCCCAAGAAGAGAATGGAGAAGGGACTGTGGAAAGCCTAGATTCCCTGGGTAATTTGTCATTTTCCCTGTCTCTGTGTCTCTCTGTCTCTGGCGAGCACATGCACCCTCTGGCAACAACCTAAGAAATAAATGAAAGAGTGCCAGGAAGGAGGGAAGTGGACCCTCAGGAAGCAGGCCCTGCAGACAGACCTGTGGTCAAGCCTTACACATGGAGGCAGAAGGGCAGAACTTAGAATCGGGATTGTCTGTCTACATGTCCCTTGAGAAGGACAAAGGGTCTAAAAAATAAATTTGCAAAATGAGTCAGGCAAGATTTCCAGGGGGACAAGCATTCCACCATCAGGAACTGGCACCAGCCATGCTCAGCCCTGCCCGCCCATAGGAAAACACCCTCCGGAAGTATGGACGCTGGTGATGCACCTCCTGGGATCCTCCCTTGGGTTCACCTGTCTCTGGGCCCTTTGGCCACTTGCTCCTGACACTGTGGCCAACCTGCGTGGACCCTAGCCAGCTTCACATGGGCATGCCCCACGGTGCCTCACATCATGCCCAGGGCACGGCCCCTTGCATCCTGCCCTGGCTTCTCTGAGGCTGAGCGGTCTGTGACACCAGACACACTCACCCACCCAGGAGCAATCCAGATGCACAGAGGGTTATAACTCCACAGAGGAACCAACCAGACGCCTGAACAAGCCCATTCGAAAACGGACAAAAGACTTGAACAGGCATTTCGCGGAAGAAGATATACGCATGGCTAATAGCCTCATGAGAAGATGCTCGATAGCACTGATCACCAGGGAAATGCAGATCAGAACTACGTCAAGGGCCAGCTGGTAGCATGGGGACCAAGACACCGGGTCCCACGCGGACAGCTGTGTGGCTGCAGCCTCGCACTAAGCGGCTTGAAAATCACACCGGGTGCATGTGTGTGCATGCCCAAAATCCCGAGAGACTGGAAGAGAAGGGATTGCAGTATAGCCATCCCTCCTGGGCAGGGCTTTATCACTCTCTCTGGCAAATGCATTTGCCTTATGTCAACAAAAGAAAGGAAGAAAGGAAGAAAGGAAGAAAGAAAGAAAGGAAGGAAAGAAAGGAAGAAAGGAAGGAAGGAAGGAAGGAAGGAAG